AAATCCGACCTAACTTTATAATTGTAAAATTCGAACCCGTCCGACCAGAAAATTTTTTTATTTTTTCATACTGGAACCCAACCCAACCTGATATTATATAAATCGTACCCAATCCAATCCGAAATTAATAAAATATTATTATTTTTAAATATAAAATATTATTTTTTAAATATAAATTAAAAAATAATTAAACAATAATTTTTTATATAATATTGGGTCAGGTCGGGTTTGCCTAAAACCTGAACCCGATCCGATCCTGATTTTTCTTTAATAATACTCGACTCGAAACCTCATTTAAAAAAAAATAAACCCTATGAGATCGGGTTAGGTCGAAATCTATCGGGTATAGGTTGGGTTGTCAATCCTAGTTAGGATATTTTTTTTTAAGAAAATGTTGAAACTGAATTGAAAAAAAAGTTATGATATTTATAGTTGAAAAAACCTAAAAGACCCACATGCTGACCCAAACTCGACCCAAGGTTTATGTACTCGACCTGATGCTAGAATCTACTTCTAACATTGAGTTTAGACTGCTAAATTATTGTAGAAACCAAAAGGAAAAGCCCTAAACCATCGACTGAACTTAAAAAATCGCTCCAAACACAAAGAATTGGTCCCAACTACCAGTCGATTTAGGTATTCTTTACTTCTTTATTTTTACCTTTTTTTTGTTGTTTTATTGATTTTTCTAATTTTTGCCAAGTTATTCATGCGTGTTTAAAATTTCAAAATTCCTAAAATAAATATCTATTTTTTAAATGAAAAAAATAGTGTTTGATATAGCTAAAATTTGAAATTTTTTGTAATTTTAAATTCCATCCTCTTAAAAAAAAAAGGAAAAGAAAATTTTTATTTGATGATAAGATTTTAAAGAACTTTATGTAGTGATTTCTATAAAAATATATAAGCGAAAAGATTTTTTTTTTTTTAAATACTGTCCAGTATATTGGAGTATTTATAAAAAATTTTAATAAAAAAGTAATTTTTTTATAAAAAATTACAAAATATATATAATATATGAAAAAGAAGGAAGAAATTTTTTTCTAAAAAAGAGAAATAATAAATAAATGAAAATAAAATAAGATAAATACACAAATAAAGTGTGCACACCAATGCATGAATATTATGTTTCATTATTTGCATAGCATGTATATCATTCAATCATGGAAAAATGGATACAAACCTTCGAGAATAGGATTTTAAGAAAATTTGAGTATTGATTTTTAAAAAAATTTTAAGTGAGAAAATCTCTCATAATGTTACAAACTTATTAGAACATTTTGAGAATTCTTCAATATTAAGGTCCTAATTTATTTTTTTCAAATAAAAATAAAATAATAATTTTTTTTAAAAAGATATTTTTTTGGAAAAATGAAATAAAGAACCAAAATAAAAAGAGTCAAGGAAGTTAATTTTAAATACCAAAATTAAAACCACTTTTTATCTAGATTAAAGGATAAAATATATTTAATTGGTACCATTTTTAAAATAGCCGTTATGGAGTGTTAATTTTTTTCTACGAGTAACCATACTCTTGAACCCAAACTATTTTCACAGACCTCAAAATTATTTTTTTAATAAAATTTTAGTTAATTTTAAGATTTTATTGAAAAGATAAGCTTTAATAGGTGATCAATTACATTTAATAAAAAATTGATGATGACTTCTTATTTTTTTAAAATTGCCTAACAGTATCAAAACTGATATGACAATACCTTGTATCAAATGAGTCTTATAAAAAAGGTAATTTAAAATCTTAAAATATATTTATAAAAATTACAAAAAAGTAAAAAAGAAAAGGAAAAAAGAAAAAAAAAGAAAAATTAGTATAAAGTAGGTCATATTTTTTAAAAATTTAAATAGGAAAAACATTATTAACTATTAAAAAGTTGGAAGTAAATAAAAAAACAATAAAAAAGATTTTTAAAAATAACATAAACAAAAAGTGATAGGTCGCATATAAGTTAAGCTCCGTACAAAAATAAAATTTATCTAATAGATTAATTTATTAAAAAATTTGTAAAAAGAAAAGGGAAAAAAGTTTGATTAAGTAGATCCAACCTAAATTAAAATTTTTAAAAATATATTTATAAAAATTTTTAAAAAATATAAAATCTAGGAAAAAACTAAAAATGAAAAAAATAAAAGAAATAAAAAAAGGTTACTTCGTGCCACGAAGAAATGGTAGTAAATTAGTAAAACACAATCACATCTCGCGTGTTACTGCGGGTATTTATATTCATTTCTTTTCAAATTATTTAACAAATTAAAATCTAAAAAAGTAGCTTAAAATTTAACAATAAATCAAACAAAATAACTGTAATCTCAACTCTTTATAAGAAAGAAAAACAAAGACATATTATATTGTTTTTTGTTATAAAAAAAATCTTTTTCATATCATAGAAGCATACATATTATATTGAATTCCACATATTTGAAAATTGTCATAATTGACAATTATAAGTAGTTTTACAGTTTAAAAAATTACACTTTGTTTCGTTGTATAGGACCAACTGTGGCAAGGCACATAGCCTAAAATAATTTTTAGACGATCATAGTGATCCATTTACATTCCAATGCCATAAAGGGCTATATGAAATCCTACAAAGATCAAGGCATGCTTAATTATATTTTATCTTCAATTTGTTAGGCACTTTAAGTAATGCTAACTGCTCTTCTAACTCTAATTTTATACCTTGAGAAATATCACTGAAGTCTATTCATAATGAAGAGAACAAACAGTTCTTTCGGTTATTGGACTATAAGATTAACAGCAGCTTGGATTCCGCATGTTAGGAAAATATTTGAAACAATCAACAATGGTAAATAGTTTTACAATTTACAAAAAAAAAAAAAAAAAAAGAAATTTGTTAACTTGCATAGGACCAATTTGGTCATTGCACGTTGCTTAAAAGATATTTTAGGCGCTGATAAAGGTCCATTTACAGGTTGATGCCATAAAAGACTAAATGAATTCATAACAACATCATACCATGCTCAATTATCTCTCGGCTATGTTAGGCTTTTTAACTATTGTTGTAAGTTATCGTATGTATTACATGGCCCATATCCATTCCTGCCGACTGACTATAGAACACATGTTATTGTTAACACATATTTTTAAGAAACATCAGTGTTTGTATAAAATAGATAAAATAGAAATAAAAATTCCATTACTGTAGAATAGATAACGCTTCAATGAATGATCACATATATGCCTGTATAATTGTTCCTGGCTATATTGAATTAACAACTCAAAGTAAAATGATGAATCTAAACATAAACAAATAATTGCAGGTTGATAATACTAAGAAATTGCATAAAGTTTCTTTTATTGTTAATCACACTTTTCATGTCAATCTATTTTAGTAACAAGAAAGGATAAGTAATTTAGCCATGAAAGATAGAGTACCTGGCAATAGGGTAAGAAAAGATGAAATAGGAAGCACACTGAGTTTCTTTAGGACTCCAAGGCACCGAAAAAAACTTGTTTGGGTTAATTAGATTTACATTATCCTGACTTGGGTTCGTCAAACCCGAGGTAATCACAGATTTGATAAGATTAGGATTCATCTTGGAAATGGCCCCTTGAGGACATATTAAAATTAGCCACAAGCTTTTGTTAAACACATTCATCCACTAAAAAATCAACAGAACAAAAAAAAAAAAAACAAACGCATTGAAACGTATCTGAAAAACTTCGATGACGATGGAGGAATTTCTAAAACTGAGATTTGCCGAAATTCTCTTTCTCCAATCCAAAGAAACTTGTTTCAAACGAAAAACGACAATTAAAATTGAAATAATTGGCAAGCACTGAAAAAATTTTACCCAAATGAAAAAAAAAAAAAAAAAACCTAGACATTACAGAGATGCATTGAATCAATGACCCAAGCAAAAGAACACATACATAAATATTGAGTGTGAGGCAAAAAAAAAAAAAGAAATTCTTTAAGGAATGAAGATAATTGACTTACGGGATTGATTGCTTTCCTTCGATTCGATTACGAATCAATTTGTTCTTGGTTGAACGGAACTTCAGAATACGAAAAATATTTTAGCCAGTTGTTCTTGCGATAATGTTTGAACGACATTCGATAAGGGTAGAAGATTAAGTTTTTTGGAGATTTCAAAGGACTTTTCGTAATTAATCCTTTCTTATTTTGGGGAAAAATGTACATCATTATTATTTTTATAGTAAACCATAAAATTATTTTGCAAAAAAATTGAAACAGAAATGTAAAAAGATAGAATTTTAAAATCCGATTAATGTTTGTCCTCTGGTATGAATGATCTATGCAACACGGAGTTTAATGATCCATTAAATGTTTAAACAAATAGTTTTTGCTCTGATTCAGTGTTTTAATCCATTTTAGAGAAAAAAAAAACTTTTTTAAACAAAAAAGGAGACGTGAATTAATTAAATTGCCCTGCAAATTCATTGAATAGTGTTTATTTGTATAGAGAACTAATGAGTAGAAAAAACCAAAAGACACCTAAATAAATTTTAAAAAAATAAAATTTTTATAAGACATATGTCACAATATTAAGAATTTGCATATTAAAATAATATATTATTAGATTTAAAATTTAGATGTTGATTTTTTTTCAAAAATTGTAAAATACTAGATTTATTATTTAAAATTATTAAAATTTTTAATTAATATAATTTTTTTTAAATTGATAGGTAAATATATTATTTTATTTTTATTTTTAAATTAATTAAAAATTATTTTATTGAAAATTATTTTATAATTTAAAATTTTACAATAAAAAATAATTATAAAGTTAAAATCTGATTTTTTTTATTTTATAATGATATATTTTATTAATTATAATTAATTAATTAATATTCCGTAATTATAAAAATTTTTATTATTCAATTAAAGAATTTATTTAAAAATTGTTAAAAAATGAAAAAAAAATGTGGTAGCATGAGATTTATATTTCTACTCTATAGCTTTAAGGAAAAAAAAAAAAAGATGGGTATGATAGGAAAACCGGAGCAGCTTTTGAAAAGTCAATTTTGCACTAAACCTTTTGCGACGTGGGGCTGCAGCTAGATGGCGATTGCTCCACCGTGGCACTCGTGATCCAAATGGCTCACCAGTGTGGTTGGAGGTCACAACCGTACCACAATGGAACCAACGGGGATCCAAATGGACAATTAGATGCCCGTTTACCAAATGCAACGACTTTTGCTCTCGAGTCATAGCAAAGACCGCCGAATCTACTCGGAATCTCTGCATCAACGCTCCCTTGCAATGTCTTCGTCTTCGTCGTCCTCTTCGTCCGCTGCCCAAACAGATGCTGAAACTCTCCGCCTTAAACGAATTAACTCTAGCAAGCTCTATCTCCATGTAATTCCCTCCAAGGTAACTTTTATTTTACCTATAATTTTACATTATATATATAGTAACAGTATTTGTTTTCTAACTAGAAAATTTGAAATCTAACTAAAAAAATGACAGGTTCCGATTATCTACTCTTCTTATTACGATATCAGCTTCCTCGGAATTGAGAAACTGTAAGATAATTTGAATTTGAATTTCTTGTAAGTAATTTTATGTTTCGTTTTCTTTTTATTCAGTTAATCAGTTTTAAAAACTAGTTAGTTATTTTTTTATTGATGTAGGCATCCGTTTGATTCTTCAAAATGGGGCCGAATATGCCGATTCCTGATTTCGGAAGGTTACCTGGACAAAAACTCTATTGTTGAGCCATTGGAAGCTACAACAGATGATCTACTTGTGGTAATTGTACTTTTCCCCTCTGTTTGTTTATATGCATTGAGGCTTATGCATATTGAGGAAAAAGGAAAATCATAGGTAACGAAGAAAATCTTAGTTAATGAGGTAACTGTTCGTAGTAGTCTTTGTGACCTAATGCTTAATTTTTTCCATAATCTCTGGATAGGTGCATACAGAAGCATACCTGAATAGCCTGAAGAACAGTGTGAATGTTGCCATGATAACTGAGGTACTTTGTAGTATTTCCTTATACAATAATTTGGTTGTTTCTAGCAGGCAGTTAATTTTTGCTTTCTTGGAGTTTATTTGTTTCATTAGTATTATCAGTTGTGCTCGTATGACTCTGCTTAAAAATGGGATTATCCAGAAAAAATAGCATGATATCCCAGTTTTTGTTTATTATGATTTTGGGCTCGTGGGATGTTTGTGTATGGCCAATTAAATATTTTACTGGCTGTCTCTGTTATATTTTGATGATTCTGAAATGAGGATTAGGTAGTTTCAAATTATATTATACTACTAGATTGATTCAAAGCAGTGTGTTGTGTAGGTTCCTCCTATAGCGATATTACCCAATTGCCTTGTTCAAACGAAAGTTCTTTATCCGCTCCGAAGGCAGGTGAAGTCATCAACTCTGTGGGAGCTAATTACATCATTTTCTCTTTGAGAATGCAATTTGGGTTTCCTTTGAGACTAGGATTATTCTGATCATATTACCACAGGTGGGTGGAACTATTCTGGCAGCTAAGCTCGCAAAGGACCGAGGATGGGCTTTCAATGTTGGAGGAGGGTTTCATCATTGTTGTAGTGGAAGGGGAGGTGGATTTTGTGCATTTGCAGACATATCTCTTTGCATTCATTTTGCTTTTGTTCGGTTAAATATATCAAGGTAAAAGAACTTCGAGCTTAAAAGTAATAAATGCAGTCCTTGCAATCTTATGTGGCATCCTAATCTCAACTCATCGGTTAACAACTATTTTTATGAATGGGCTATTTCCTTATTTTTTCAGGGTGATGATAGTTGATCTAGATGCACATCAAGGAAATGGTCACGAAATGGATTTTGCTGATGATGGTAAGGATGCTTATTTTTCCTCATGCTTATTTTTGCTGATGGTGTTATTTTTGGAATTTCAATGATTGTGTTTAAACTGACAGGGCGTGTGTATATTTTGGATATGTACAACCATGAAATATACCCATTTGTAAGTACCTGCTATTTAAATTTGTACTGCATATTCTCTAATTGAATATGAACAGACTCTTCCTAGACCATAGTTTGTTTCGTCCTTGTAACTGTTATTTTTTGCTTCACCTCTTGAAATATCAATATAAGAGGGCAAGTCAACTTTTTTTGGTTTTATTTTCTTTCTTTAAACCTTTTTCAGGATATGACAGCTAGAAGTTATATTAAACAGAAGGTTGAAGTAGCGGTGAGCCTCTGGCTTCTTACTAATGAAGTTAGTTTATTGCTGGCTAGGTCTTTAGCTGATTTAATATTCCCATATAAGAACAGACTGGGACTACAACTGATGAGTACTTGAAGGAATTAGATAAAGCACTTGAGGTATATATTTCTTTCAGCTATCTTCAACATGCTTCTGTCTTGTTTTTTGCTGGATGTTTTCTTTTCTCAATTCTTATGTCCATATATGCTGTTTATTTATCTGATAACACGTACATCATTGTCCGATGCCTTCTCTTCAACACTTCATCCATTTTATGTGACAATTTACAAGTTTCTTGGTTTTAACTTTCCATCATTTACTTTTTTATCCATCATATGTTTTGAATTGCATTTCTTTATTGTGTCTGTGCATCTTTTCTTTTGTTTATTGTTGTCATAATCCATGATGCCTTAACTTTGGTGCATTCAGACATGATTTCATCAGCATTTTTGCCAACTTGTACTTTATCTCTTGTGTTTCTTTTATCTCTATTATGTTTCCCTCTTTCTTTTTAATTACTTGTTATCTTTAACTAATTTTATGTTATAAATAGTGTAGTAAAAAGTTCTTATGCCATTACCACATTGTAGTTATTTCTTACAAATGTCAGGTAGCAAGGGGTAATTTTGCCCCTGAGTTGGTTGTTTACAATGCTGGTACCGATATCCTTGATGGAGATCCACTTGGTGGATTAAAGGTAAATTCATCATTGGATCCATTTGCTTAATTTTGTGCTTATTCTTTTTGTCCAGCACTTTTTCCTCTTTAGTGAGAAGTAAAAAGAGATCCTCAGTAGAATCATGCTTACTATGAATTTATTGTCTCTGATTTACGAACTCACATTAACTTTTGGTAGAGAATTGTCCTTCTGATGATATGCTGGGAAAGCAGCCTAAAGTATCATACAGAAAGAAGGAAGCTGGTGGAAGGAACACATCCCTGTTTTATTTCATATTATGTGCTAACATGGTCATGCTGATTCATAAAGATTTTGTAGTAATCATCCTATGAACTCTGCAAATGTTCACTTGCCAGCTTATAGTTAAACTGAACAAGAGCTGCATTGATGTCAGACTTTTAGAAGCAGAAGAGAATGTTCTTTTTTTTCCGCTAAGCTGTGAAAGAAAACCCTTCATTTATATTGCATTCAGTTTAATAACTACTTCTGAATCAAAAGGGGCAGTAGATAAGTAGCAATGAGGGTTGTAACTTGTAAGATTATCATATAAAACTTAATAGAAATTTTATAAATCTTAAATGTTGGTTTAATGGTAGAAAGATCCTGTAAGATTTTGGGGATATGATTATGGACTGATTGGCAGAATCCAGAGTATATGTGCATGTGGTGAATGGATGGAATGGCACATAGAGGAAAAAGAACTGTTAAGAAGTTAAAGACGAATACAACCAAGAGGGATGTTTAAGACAGTTCATTTCTACGCCCCTTTAGTTTTTGGGGCATTCTGTAAAATACACGTAACCTTTTTTTTAAATATATATCTTTGTTTGGATAGTGCATCTCCACATCATTAATATTTGTGAGTTTTCACTTATGGGTGTTGGTCACTTTTAATTTTCAGGTTAGTCCAGATGGGGTAGTCCAAAGAGATGAGAAGGTCTTCAGGTTTGCTCGTGAGGGAAATATCCCTCTTGTCATGGTCGCTTCAGGTTCGGTATCTTCCAAACTTTATATTTATGCTTGATGCAGACAACAAATAGGTGTATGTGCATGCACATAAGAAAGAGAGTTGAGACTTAGTTTATCTAAAATCTGTATCACCTGTGTTTTGTGGAAACTTATGACTCTATTCAGCGGAGAACCTTCTATTTTTTCTGATCCTCTGCCTTGCCTTGTAATCTTGTTGATTATATGCCTCTTCAGTACATATTCTATAACTCTTGTTTCCAGATATCAGCTACTCTAGCATTTCATCTTGTTGGACACGTGGGTCAAGAAAATCACTAATTAAAGAAAAATTTTGTTCCCTAATAATTACTTATCCCTTTTCTGAATGGCTACATTAAATGGCCTTAATATGCCATGCAGAGGCAAAAGATTCTGCTTTTTTCTGTGATTGACAATGTCTTTTTCCTCCACCTGTATGCTGCAAAATCCAACTAGGCGTGAACCTCAGACCTCTTTAGGTTAAATAAGAAATAATTTTCATTTCGCTCACTGATTGATGTTGGTCCTTTTTGCAGCTGCCAAGCTATAGTTCCCATGCTTACTCCTTGTTTTAGTGGGGAACAAAAATAGAAGGAATTGTATATTTATTTTCCATTTTATATCAACAAGAATGTAGGAGCTAGGGTTGAGATTACCAACATCGAATGAATCCACAACTTGTGAGGATGCATATAGGATAGACATGGCAAATTTTCTTTGAGCTTCTTGGATAATCCATCCTAAGAAACTTTCATTTTACTTTTTCTTGTTTTAGGTGGCTATATGAAAACCAGTGCCAGAGTCATAGCAGATTCCATAATAAACCTCTCAAAGAAAGGCTTGATAGATATAGCCGGTCGCTGAGGAAGAAGATAAATGACAAAAGGCCCCTTTGCTGTTATACACAGTCCATGACAAAAGGCGAATTCCTCTGAAGAATTTCAAAGGCATGAATTCTGGGTTTCCTGTGAGTTTGTAACTGGAAGTGCTACTTGCAATATAAGCAAGCAACAAGGGTTAGAAATTAGGAGAAGTGCAAATTTTATGTAACAATAACACTTGTAAGAGCGTGAGTGTGTTGGGTGGTTCTTCGCTGAGTAGTTGAACCTTACAGGTGTGTCTCGTATGAATGGCTATGACCCAAAGATTGATTAAGATTATAAAAGGTTGCAATGTTTATAATTTTAACAGGACGGTCCATTTCCATGCTGCTATCCGCCAGTGTCAGACTTGTCTAGTATTTGTTGTTTCTGGACCCGTGTCCATGGGCTTCAACTGGAATGGGAGATGAGTTAAGAATATGAATTGAGTGATTTATTACTATGGTAAGCCATTTATCCTATTGTGATTATATGTTCTGCTTGATAAACTTAAGAATATGAATATTTTTATGTCAATGTTATTGTAAATGACTCGTATATTTTAAACATAATTAAAATATATGGGCTAAAATTATAGAGTGTACACATACTATTACAAAATCTCAACAATTTATTCTGTGTTACGTGGACATAGCACTGGCTTTTATGTAATATACATTTGTGGTTTTTCTGTTTTGCCAGAAATATAAATATATGTTCATTAGAGCGAGTGCTTCGCTGCCTAGCCCTCCCCTATAGGCTCTAGGTGTCCTTTGATTATCTTTTTGACCTCTAGGTGTCCTTAGTTTATTTTTTAACCTGCTCCTTTTGGCATTTCCCCCTTCATTTCATTTTGTTTCCTCCTTGCAGTCTTACAAACAGACAGGCTAAGCTAAAAAGAAACGATGGGAGTGGGAGGGGCAGACTTGAGAAGATTTAATTTCATTGAAAATTTATGTTTCACCATATTGCTTCATGGCCCCTACAATTTTAGCATAATAAGATAGACTACTCCCAAAACAATGAATCTGTTTTGCTTGATATATACTCTGAACTCTTAAGCAAATAGTATTATTTATACATCTTTATCTTTATATAAAAAAGTCCCTTAAGGTATCTTAGCAAGACCCGTGTGTTTTTTTTTTTTTCCTATAATGATATGTCATTTCAATCAAGGAGGCTTTTATATATATATATATATATAGACAAAAGGTTTGTCGTTTTGGTAAGGGAGACTTTTTTCTATCGGGAGGCATATAGAAAAAGATTTTTCTAGTTCTTAGATGTTTTCTTTTTTTTTTTTTCTTACAAGTGTTTTTTATATTATTTTTATTTGACAATTGTCTTTGACTCTAAAAGGTCAGTTTGAAGTTGAATTTTGAAATTTATGTTTATGAGTTTTCATTGCTGTTTCAGAGTTGTTGTACAAAGTGTGATCTGGATTTTTTTTTTGGTCTTTTCTTTTTTTATTTTCTCTATTGTTTTTGGGTAAAATTTGTTGTTCTTTTTTTTGTTGTTCAATTAAATCTGGGTTTTTTTTGGTTTTCTTTAAGTGATTTTAATGTTTTACATTTTTATGTTGAATGAGGTTTTGTTTTTGTGATTCTTGGGGTTGAATGTTGTTTTTAATGTGTGTTTTTTTAATAATTTATCTTTGTATGTTCTGATATTGGATAACAATTAGATTGTTCTTCTGTTTTTGGATTTTCATTGCTGTTTCAAATTTTGCTTTAATGTTTTTAGGTAAATTTTGTATGTTGGGTAAAATGCAAGTATTGAGCTATTTGCATTTAGCACTCTTTGCATTTAACATCATGCTCTTTTTCAATTGTGTCTATCAAATTGTCTTAGTTGTAACTTATAATCAAAACATCATGGTAGTGCATGAACAATGCATATTAGTCTTACGTTTGGATGTCTATGTCTTTTATAATTACTTACTTAAAATATTAGCTTATCATGATGCAAAATAAAATAGGCATTTCCCGCTTGGAAGGCTTTCTTCAAAAGATGAAAGGATATTATTTGATATTCTATTATTAGAGCATGTATTTTGGCTTTGCTTGTAGGATTAGTGGATTGGCATAATATCCTACATATGTGAGAATAGCATACTTTATAAAAATAATTATGTTTAATGCATATAATATAGATGAATACTGAATGGTGATTATAAAATAAATTTTCAAACTTAAGCAAAGAAATGACCCTAACAACTTGAGGTTTCAACTTCATTTTCAATGCATAAAAACTCACAATGTCAATTAAAATATGTTACTTAGCTATTTTGATTGTCACATTGAAACATTAATGATAATATTTTATTTGGCCAATGAATTTGTTTATGCTTTGAAGGTCTCCATGTAGACACATGATTGTATGTATATCCATTTTTCAATAGTTTTAGTGATTTAATATGAGAATTTGTCACTTTTATGATTAAGACTTAAGAGGTATCTTGATCTTGAATCAAACAAACCATGTGACTTTAGGCATATAAAAAATTTGTATTGTTACTTTTTTTTTTTTTTTTGCATTTCTCATTATTTGTGGTAACTTTAGTAGTAGAGGATGGACAGTTGAAATCAGGTTACATGTAATATTAAATTCCTTCTATGAGTTATTTAAAATCTGATGAGGGATTATAGAGATTGTTAATACCTTAGTCATTAAATTGTTGGTTTACTAGATTCTTTTTATATAGACAGTGTATATAGATAAATTTATATGAATAACTTTTAATTAAAATTAAAATTGTACTTGCTATGCATTTTTCTACATCAATTACTGTTAAATTATATTGTTCATTAATCATTCAATTTATTTTTATATGTTTAGTCTATGGCTGTTAATAGAGCTTGCTATTTTTTTGTAAGTTCAATTGTTATTGTTAGATTGTTTCTGTGTGAGGTCAGTTTTAGATTTTGGTTTTGTCATTTGTATTATTGTTTTCTTCTTCTCCTTTGTTTTTTTTTTCCTCTTTTTTTATGCTTCAATTTATTTGCTTTATTTGTGTCCTAAGTTTTATTTATGTGTATATTTAGATTATAAATATACTATCATATTATGCTTTCCTATTTTGGTTATTATGTTTTATTTTTTGTTGTTTTTGGTTTTGTTAGTAGATTACGTTTTGTGTTGAATTGGTAAAGTCCATCTGATACTGAAATCACATAGACAAATTTATATGAATGGATTTTAATTAAATTTAAAAGTTTACATACTATGTTTTTTTTTCATCAATAATTGTTAAATTGTGTTATTGATTAATTATTCAATCTATTTGTATATTTATAGGTAATAGTAGTTAACAAAGCTTGTTGTTTTTAATTATATGGTTAATTTGTTATTTTATTTGTTATAAATTATGAAGTATTGTCTTTTTGCAAGCTCAGTTGTAAGTATTAGGTTTTTTGTGTATAAGGTAACTTTTTTACATTGTTTTTTTTCTTTTTTTTTCTTCTATTTTTTTGTTTTATTTGTGCTCTAGGTTTTGTTTGTGTAATTAGATTAGAAATATAGTATGCTATTATGTTTTCATATATTTTGTCATATTCTTTTTTTTTTGTGGTTTTGTTAGTAAATTATGTTTTGTGCGTATATTTGGTGCTAATTGTTTGTGTTAAGTTATTGTCTTTAGTTATGGATTCTGTTAATACAACAAAAGAGAATAAAATTAGAAGAATAGAAATGTTACAGTCTATAAGATTAAGAAGAGAGTAAACTATTCATATAGGTAGTTTATCTTCTTTTGGAGTTGATGGATTTAAACATGGTATATGTCTTTCTCAAGGTAAAACAAGAAAATGTTCAGGTTTAGTTAGTAATATAATACAACGTGCCAATTTTGCAAGAGATTTTGATGATATTAGTTTCACTAATAGTAATGGAGATAATCCATTTAGTGGTGATATTATGAGAAAAACTTTTCAGGTTCTGACTTAACATGTTTCGTAACACGTGTTCGAATATGATTTGGTTCCTAATAATGGATGAAGTGAGTATCAACCTTTTGTATTCTTATATTCTTCCGTTGATACTAATAGAGAATTACAAACCATTGGAGTCAAAACTTGTAAATTTATTGTTGCAAAAGATTTAGTTGTTCATATGTCAAAAAAATAGGAAGCTTGTTTTTGTAAGCTCTTTTAGATGTGTTCAGGATTTAGCTTTGGCTGTAACAAATTCTTTTTGTCATCTTATGGATGTTTTTTTAAAGCAAGAAGAGCAATCAAATATCTTTCGTGGGGAGATAAGGCAAACTGACTATTAATTAAGTTCTGTTGTGTTTTGTGTATTCTTTTCATTTGTCATTTTGTTGTTACTTTTTACATTCGTCTAACATTTAAATGTTTTTCCCTTTTTTGGAGGAACTGTTTCGAATCTTTTAACTTTGGTGGTCCAAAATGTGTTTATTCATTTTGTAATGCTATTACGTGGTATGAAAAAAGGGTTAATATCTTAAAACAAATACACATTCCTATATTTACACTTTATTGTCAAGAACGGATTGTTTGGTTGCCTCTTTTAGAAGGACTCCATAATATTTGGATCAATTGCTTAGTTATAATGAAAAACATAGAAGTGTTGATTTTAGAGAAAATATTATAATGTATAATACAATGTTTTAGTTTACTTCAACAAGAGATGAGGTTGACAGTAATGTCAATAATAGAGTAGGGCCTTATGGTTTTTAAGATTTTTGGATAGAATTTTCATAGAATTGGGTCTTTGTTTTTTCCTCTTGGTCAAAATCTAAAGTTTGCTTAGATGTACATATACGATAATAAGAATGAGATTTTGAATAGAATGTCTATCTTTCAAAATTCTTTCAAAGCTTCAAAAAGTGATCCAACTATTATGGATGGTTTAGTTGCAATGTTAGATGTAAACATCGAAGTTGTCAAAGTCTTTAGACTAGCTAGAGATAGATTTAGTAATTCTAACTAGTAATTTTGACTACATTCCTATGAAGTTAAAGTTGATTGGTGCAAGAAAAGATAGAGATAGAACTTATATTCTTCCAATTGGTAGTGAAGTTGTTGCATTAATTGTTGGAGATATAAATGAATATGATAAGCATTAAAATATAATTGTTTATTATAGATCTAACGGTTTAAAGAGAATCAATGACCTTTATCCTTATTTTATGGCTTTACAATATATTTTATTATTTCCTTATGGTGAGGATGGTTATCATCTTGATATTAAATATGTTAAATTTACCAAAAAAAAAGTGAGGCACACAAAAAAAACTTGACAATGCGTGAATATTATACATTTATTCTTCATAATAGAATCAATTTCAGTGATACTTTATTATAAGGTGATCGATTGTTTCAATAATTTGTTGTTGATGCGTATACAAGTGTTAAGGAAATGTACAGTTTATAAAAGATAATTAGAAAACTATTAGGTCTAAAATATACAAAGATGTTAGGAATTTAGTTGTGAGAGGTGAGTTTCAGGGTAATTCTATATTGGTAAAAAAGTGATTTTATTGTCATGTTTTATAGCTAGTCCTTGATACTTATTTTAAAATTATCAAGATGTCATGACAATTTTTAGGTTTTTTTTGTTATCCTAATTTATTCATAACATTTATATGTAATGCTCGATGATCAGAAATTCAAGAAGCATTAGCTTTTATTCCAAGACAGTGACCTAATGATTATCCTAATATTGTGTTACGTATTTTAAAGATTAAGTTACAATATTTTATGGATGATTTAACCAAGAAGAACCACTTCGGCAGTGTTATGGCAGATTAGTTTTTAAAATTTTTAATTATCATTAACATTGTCATGTGTTAATTTTTTTTTTAATGATGCTTTGCCTACAACTTTTTTTTTGTAAATCATTCGTGCAGTTACTTATACAATTGAGTTTTAAAAGTGTGACCTTCCTCATGTTCATAGTCTTTTATGGTTACATCATAATGCTAAATATCATATTGCTACTAAGATGGATAAGATTATTTTTGTTGAAATTCCTAATAAAAGATTGGATCCTATTGAATACAGTGCTGTTACAAATTTTATGATTCATGATTCATGCAGTTCTGCACCTCCTCAAGTGCC